AGGATGGTTTCGTGAGTGTGGTATTATACCACACACAATGGATATCGATTTCGCCGCATTCGTAGAAGAATATAAACCAAAACTTCTTGAACACCTACAGAGTAACGAAACGAAATTCTATCTTAGACGAAAGTTCGGAAAGGTAACCCTCCGCTTTAACATGAAGTAGAAAAAGCTACTTTCTTTATAGGTGAATGACTCTTACGAATTCACACTTACGACATTGGACGGCAGCCGACCTATGATGGATCTATTTTGGTTGTACAGCGCAGCAAATGAATCATGGGTGGGAGGAACTTCATCCGATGGAACCAAATACAAGTACACTTATCCTAGGTAGGATTGCTTGCAATATATATTAAATGATAAGAACTGACTACTCACTATTTAGAATTACTGATATTTGTGCGGCAGACTTACTCGGTCATATCTTTTGGATACCCTGTGATCCGGAGTTAATCCTCAAGGTACCTTTCAGCTCATGTTCTTCACCTTAGGATGAAAGTTGTACGTGAACAAAAGGCCCAGTTAACATTATTCTACCTCACCATTACTATCTTAGGTTTTCGTTTGTGAGGTTGAAGAGGTTTCATATGAGAATTTTCACGTAGTATCTCCAATTTAAGTCGCAGAAGAAGGCATTTTGCCAGAATGTCAGCCATTATAGCAATCTCAAATGTAACTAAGAAAACAAATCAATATTTTATTTTGACTGAAACAAAGCTTTGTGTTTCGCTAAGTTGACCTCGTGATATGTAATATTAATCATAATCATTTTCTCTTGCCCAGTGAAATCCGAAAAAAGGCTAAAATTTTATCAACTGCCTTTGAGAAGACAGAGCTGTAGAACTGGAAAAAGAGTAGGAGTTGACAGTTTGTTTAAGAAGATAATTTCAGACAGAGTATGGTCCTCAGTGGTACAAAGATCATCCAACAAGTAGGTTTTCTTGGAGTTCATCTCATTACAATGTGAAGAAAAACGGGAAATGGACATCCCAGGAAATGAAGGAAGTGTACAAAGTCTATTGAATTTTCTAATTAGAAACTAGATTCTTTTATCTCTACCTTAGTAATAGCGGATTACGGGTAAACTTCGCACTTTCTCGGTGATTATGTGATATCTACTACATTTTCACAAGTTGTTATCAATGAGTATGATGGTTTGCAAAGTGTTTTGACATTTTCATAAATTGATATGTGCATATAAAAACATTACAGACTCGGAAAGATATGTGTTGGTTGCTCCTTAAAACGAGTGTAGAAGATGATAAAATTCTCACGAGAGACGAGATAAGGGCGAAACTTGTAGAAATGTGCAATTAGAGAATGGTATTCACAAGCACTTTTTGGCCTACTGATCGACCATACTTATGGAAAACTGTCAAAGTTGGAGGAAGAGGTGTCAGATGTATGATGGAAAAACCTAGCAAAAAATCTGATCTGATATCCACATAGCTTGTTAGCGATTTTAAATGGTAGGCGCACATATTGTCGCATCGCGAGATAATGACTTACAACAATATGTTGA